CGGAATTAATTCTATAGGGATGGAAAATCCCGATGCTTTGGATTTATCGGATATCGCACGGAAAAAGAAGCAAATGACGCTTTAAATTATTTTAATAATACTTTTATTTATACTTCAAGGATCACTGTTGAACATGCCAAACCTGTAGGTTTAAAAATGTCCAATCAAATCATTAAACATTTATTTACTAAAGAATTTCATATTAATTTATCTTTCTTTTATTTGAATGATGTTAAAATATTAATTCATTAATCAAGGTTTGTGATCCAACGCTATCTAGGCCTTGGAGTGCTCATAGTATTGGTTCATCAAGCTATCAGAGAAAACATTTTCAAAAATCTGAGGCTAATAGTGTGGAAATAATAAAAAAAAGAGTTAAAAATGATGATCTTAATGATGAAAAGCTTGAAGAATTTTTGGAAGTTATGAAACCAAGATCAAAATCTAAAACTTGGGCAAATGATGATTTAACATTTTTGGAATCTCAGCAGAGTTCGAAAAATATCATTACTAATGATTCAGATGATGAACTTTATCAAGATTTACCAAATAAAAATGATATAATAATTAAAAATGATACAAATGATTCGAATGATTCAACAAAGCATAATAAAGATAAATTATCTCGTGAGAAAGTTGATGAATCGAGTAAGGAGTCATCTGTATCTGATATGGAGTGGATTAGAGTGAAAATGAGGAGAAGGTTAGATATAGATGATAATGATGATGATAATGATATTGATGTTTATAAGGTGAATTGCGTTTGTTATTTATTTCACTCTTATTCAAAGATCATTATTTAATAAATTTGTATATATGTTTAGAGTAAAATCTTTTTAAAAGATAACGATGATAAAAATAATAAAATTTATACTGATCCATCGCCAGAAAATGATGATTCCAAAGAAAATAATAATGAGACAAATGCTAATCTATCTGGCAGACATACAGAGGTTCCACCTGAGGAATCTATTGGTGAAACTGGTAGATTGTTTGTTAGAAATTTGCCATACATATGTTCAGAAGAGGACCTGCGAAAGGTATTTAATAAATTTGGCCCACTTGCTGAAGTAAGCTTTATATATTTATGCATTATTATATACATATATTATATATTTTTTGAATAATGATTTTAACATGAATGAGTTTGATAAAAGGTTCACATTCCACTCGACAAGGAAACAAAGAACCAAAAAGGCTTTGCTTATGTTTTATATCATATTCCTGAACACGCTGTAAAAGCTTATATTGAGTTAGACAATAAATTCTTCATGGGAAGATTATTACATATTTTACCTTCTAGAGAAAAACCTCAAATTCGTGATTTGAATCCTGGTAGGTGGAATTTAAAGAAAAAAAACGAGATGAATCAGAAGAGCTTAGCTAGTAATGACTTCAATTGGAGTACGCTATATATGAATGTAAGAATAAAATGTGTATATTTTATTTTATGCATTTATTATAATTAATATGCGAGTTATTCAACTTAATTTATTATTTTATTCAGAGTGATGCAATCGCAGAGTCAATAGCACATCGATTTAATGTAAAAAAATCAGAAATTTTGGATCCAGAATCTGATAACATGGCCGCAAAGCTTGCTCTTGCTGAAACTCATATCATCCAAGAAACAAAATCATTTCTTGAAATGGTATGTACACCTTATACATTTCGACGATGTTATTAAGGTATATTAATTTTATTTTATTATTTAAAGAATGGAATTTCCTTAAGTTCTTTTGGAAGAAAAGAAAAAAGTGATACTATTATCTTAGTAAAGAATATTTCATTTGGTGTGACAAAGGAGGAATTACAACAATTATTTGGATGGTATGGAGAAATAGGGCGTGTAAGTTATTGTTTAACCCCCATCTATTATATATAATTGAAATTCAAGTCAAAAAATTTATACATATACATATGAGTATAACATATAAAGAGGCTAACTGTTAAAATTATAGTTAATAATTCCACCGGCTCAAACAATAGCCTTGATAGAATTTTTACATCCTTCAGAAGCCCGAAATGCATTCACAAACCTTGCATATAAAAAATTTAAAGGAGTTCCTTTATATTTGGAAAAAGCACCAGCAGATGTTTTTAAAAGTGAAACTGATACAAACTTAAAGCCAACTGATGATGATGCGAAAAAAGTACTTTCTTCAACCGATATAATTGAAACAACTATAAATGACGATGAAGAATCATCTGAAGTAACTGCTACATTGTTTGTCAAAAACATAAATTTTGATACCACCGAGGAAGAGCTAAAAAAATTATTCAAGAATACTCCTGGTATGAAATCTGCAAAAATAAAAATGAAAAATGATCCTAAAAATCCTGGTAAAACGTTGAGTATGGGATTTGGGTTTGTTGAATATGATAATATGAAAAATGCAAAGAATGCTTTGAAATCAATGCAGGTATAAAATTTTGTTCACAAGATTATTTTGATTTATTTATTAATACTTATTTAATATTAAATTACATTTTAGGGGTATGTGCTAGATGGTCATACGTTACAATTAAAATTTTCAAATCGTGGATTAGACACTGTACAGAGAAAACGTAAAGAGGATGAAATGATGAAGAAAAAACAGGAATCCACGAAAATTATTATTAAAAATGTCGCTTTTGAGACTACGAAAAAAGAGTTGAAAGAATTATTTGGGTAAATTAAAAAGTTTTTATTAATGCTATGATTATCAGTAGTTTTAATATCAAATTAACTTCATCAAATTCATTAATTTTTGTCATATTATTATAGTACGTACGGTCAAATTAAAACACTTCGTCTACCAAAAAAATTCGATGGTACATCTCGTGGATTCGCATTTGTAGAATTCTTAACAAAAAGAGATGCAAGAAATGTGATGGAGCAATTACAAAATACACACTTATTAGGTAGACATCTCATTCTTGAATATGCGGATGATGATAAAAATGTTGAAGAGTTGAGAGAGAAGATTGGTAAAGAATTTATTGCAGATGTTGAAGGTGGTAATGGTAGGATGAGAAAAAGAAAAAAGGTCGATATGGACGATTGGGCAGAAAGCAGGGACGATATAGAAGAATGAAAATTTTAATACCATATTTATGATTGATTGATTTAAATCTATTAATGTAATGTGAAGTCAATTAAGCAGATCAGTGTACAAATATTTAACTTAACACAATTATTTATATTTTTTAAGGTCCGAAATTTGCTTAGAAGTCTTACAAAAAATTATTAAATAGATACATCCCTTTGCAAATTAATATATATTAAATAAAACTACATTTTCGAAAAAGGTTATTTATTTTTTTAGACAGTTTAACTATCGTCTATGTATATCTAAATTGAAATTTTGATATTTAATTTGTTATATATTAATAAATAAATAAAATTAGTTATTGTATAGTGGCGTAAAGTGAAAGATATTGTCCAGTATTAGAAGTTTGGTTTTTTTGTTTTTTAAAAAAAAACTCTTAACATTAGTAATAAATATATAAAATTTTTAATTTTACTTATAACTTTATAAAATTACTTCATATCACCAGTGGTTTTCATCACCACATATATTTTTAGGGTTAGGGTGCAATTATATAACCGAAGAGGGGTCAACTAAAATGGTCCAACTTTAGGTTACACGAGGTTTTCAGGGTCTTGAACATTTTTACTTAATACATCCGACCCCAGTTTCTTAGTCCCGTTTTTGAGATTAATCACAACTCCTATATAATCACAAAATTTTATTTCCACTTTTTCTATTTAAAATACCTTTATATAATCACATTTAGCTTATAATCACTATCACACTTTTTATAGATTTTTTAAAAAATTTTTATTAGTAAAAATACATCTATACTATCACGAAGTTAGTAATAGTGATGATACCCGGGTTATCTGCAGATAATCGGATATCCGGGTTGTAAACTCAAACATACCCGGGTAATACCCGGGTAGACATACCCAAATAATCTTCGGGTAACAAAAGTTTGAATATTCATATAGATTATCCAAGCTAACTAAATATAAATAAACTAATAATAAACTTAATACTTCAATATACTGTACAAAAAGTTATTCTTAAAATATTATATTTTCCTTGAAAGCTATGTGTAGAATTTTAGACATAAAAAGGGTTTATACTAAATTAAGTGATCAACCAAATAAAGTAATGCTTCGATAAAAACAATAAAGCATTATAAAACTATGTTGAGTTTAAACCTGTCAGTAACTTACCAAGTACAAGAGTAATTTGTAGCTGTAATATGCACTAATCCGTTATCCAGTTTAAATTCTGAAATTAGTGTGTTGAATAGACTTACAAAACCTGCATTTCTTCCCGAAATAATACAAAATTATTAATTTATCAAAATTGGAATACTAATAGAATGATTTATCTTTATGTCTGAGGTTGTTATCAATATGAAGCTAGAAA